GAAGGAAGGAAGGAAGGAAGGAAGGAAGGAAGGAAGGAAGGAAGGAATCTTCTTTATGGCAATTACAAGCAACTTATAATTTGCTTATTCCTCCTCCCTCCCTCTCTACCTCCCAGCCTTACCCACCCACAAGGGCTGCCCGGAGAGGGACACCCCCTGTGAGGGACAAGCCCCTGTGCGACTCTTGGTCACGGCAATGGGGCCCACCCAGAACGAGGGAGGCAGAGCGAGAGAGAGGAGAGGCCCTCGGGGTCTCCTGCTGAATCCCCAACTGCTCTTTGATGACCTCCGGTCATTTCTCAGGGTGGCACTAGAAGAAACAGAACGCAAAGGTTGCTTCAGTTGGCTACTCTCCTGCAGCAACGCCGGCTTCTCCACGAGGGGGATGTCTGGCATCTCCCTAACTTTGCTTGCAGGTGGCTGGTCAACCCTCCACGTGACTCAGCCCTCCTCCCATCGCTGCCCAGCAGCCAAAGTGAGCTAACGCCACATTTCTCTTGGAGTGGCCAATCCCACCTTCTCCTGACCATGCATGGCTGGGTGCATGAGTCTGTTGGCTTCGACAGGGACTGAGCTGATGACGTGAGAAGATGCAGGGTCTGCCCGGCTCCTATTGGCCGTTGTCCTCTCATTGCCTGCGGTGGGTAGCAGCAGCGGTGTTGCAGGGCAGGATGGGGCTCTGAAGCCCAGATTTTCTCTCCGCCCTCACCACCCCCACAAGCAGATGCCCTGCAGAGCATCTCAGCAGCCAGGTCAGTGGGTCAACAGTTGGCTCTGGCTGAAATGGAGGAATCTCTTTAATCAGGGTTTGGAGACCCCCGTCCTTAACCATCCCTGCCAACGGGAGATCTTCCCCACAGGGCAAGTTAGCCCTCTGTTCAGCAGGGCTTCTGTTCTGCCAGGGTCAGCCCCACAAGTGGATTTTTGACTGTTTCGGGGAAGGGGAATTTAGGAGGAGGGAGTGTGAGTTGTGCCCCCTCAATTCCCACAGCAGTCTCTCGATGGACATGCAGTTTCCTCCTTTACTGTGACCTCCTTAGTTCCTGATTGATGCCGGCTGCAGGTGATCTTCAGAGACGTTATTAGACAAGGAGTTCAGTGGGGCACTTTTGCTGCTGAAAGATCATCATGCCCCACCCCGATCGTTGGCAGGTAGACACCTGCACGCATGCTCCATTGACCACGGACGAGAGCCGCTGTGGCACAGTGGTTAGAATGCAGTCCTACCGGCTGCCTGCAATTTGGCTGTTCGAATCTCACCAGGCTCAAGGTTGACTCAGCCTTCCATCCTTCCGATATCAGTAAATGAGGACTCGGATTGTTTGGGGCAAGAGGCTGACTCTGTAAACTGCTTAGAGAGGGCTGTAAAAGAAGTGGTATATACAGTCTGAGTCAATGTTTCTCAGCCTTGGTAGCTTGAAGATGGGTGGACTTCAACTCCCAGAATCCCCCAGGCAGGATATCTTCCATAAGAGCTGAAGTCCACACATCTTCAAGTTGGCTAGCAAGGTGGAGAAACCCTGAGTGACCTTCTTAGCTGCACGATTACTTATATACAGATCTGGTAGCAGGTTAGAAACTCACAGCTGTGCGTGCCCCTCTGAAGTCTCTCTCTTTTTCAAGAGCGGGACAGCTCAACTGATGGATCGAGAAATCTTCCTAAATGGGGTCCAGTTTTGTCACGGGAGATATTTGCTTTTTCCACTCCACAAACATGATTCAGAAGAGTGCAGGGAGGAGATGGGTAGTTCATCGCTGCTTCCAACTACTTTATGTATTTTTTAACAGATTAACAGAATTGGAAGGGACCTTGTAGGTCATCTAATCCAACCGCCTGCCCAAGCGGGAGACCCTACACCATTTCTGACAGATGGCAGTCCAGTCTCTTCTTGAAAGCCTCCAGTGATGAAGCTCCCACAACTTCTGAAAGCAACTTCTGTTCCATGGGTTGATTGTCAGAAAATTTCTCCTTATTTCCAGGTTGAATCTCTCCTTGTTCAGTTTCCATCCATTATTCCTTCTCTGGCCTTGCCTGGCCCAGTTCCTAACAGGCTCCAGATTGGTACTGGTCCACAGACCGGAGACTGGGGGGCCCTGTTCTAGAGAGAGACACACACAAGAGTTCTCCACTCCTCACCATGTTCCCTTGCAAAGGGGAGCAAGAGGGAAAGCTCATGGATTCGGAGCCGTGGTGGTGCAGTGGTTAGAATGCAGTATTGCAGGCTAATTCTACGGAATGCCAGGAGTTCAATCCTGACCAGCTCAAGGTTAACTCAGCCTTCCATCCTTCCAAGGTCGGTAAAAGGAGGACCCAGATTGTTGGGGGCAAGTGGCTGACTCTGTAAACTGCTTAGATAGGGCTGTAAAGCACTGTGAAGCAGTATATAAGTCTTAAGTGCTATTGCTATTCCCTGTTCAGGCAGAGGCAGTCAGGAGTGGTGTCTTCCCATCCCGCCATTCTCAATAACGCTCGAGCAAAAGAGATTTTTTTTTTCCTCTTGGGATGGACAGTTCTCAGTGGTGGCCCTTTTGTGCATTGGAGTCCTGGCTGGCCGCATTGATCGAGGGGCTCTGGGAGCTGGGTTCTCCCAAGAACTGAAGGACAGCTCAAGTGGACCTGCCAAATTCCATATTCCACCAGCCTATTTCCCATAGCAGTGAGCTGAGACTGCAGGTAGTCCTTGACCTATAACCATAATGGAGCCATACGTAACCAATCCAATTTTATGATCTTTTTGGGGACGCATTGTTTGCTAGAGGGCGTTTTTGGGGAAAACTGGAAGCAAAGGCTGGGTTTTTTTGACAAAAACATAAAACATAGTCATCTTATCACAGATTCTGTAGAGCAGAGATCTTCAAACTTGGCAGCTTTAAGACTTGTGGACTTCAACTCCCAGAATTCTCCAGCTGGCTGGAGTTGAAGTCCACAAGTCTTAAAGCTGCCAAGTTTGAAGACCTCTGCTGTAGAGATTATCCATCATCCAGGTCCTGGTTATTCCAAAAATGCTTTTTCAGGAAGCAACTGAATTTTCTTGTTGTTTCTTTTGAAGACGTTTCGCTTCTCATCCAAGAAGCTTCTTCAGCTCTGACAGGACAGTGAGGAATGGAAGGATTGATACTCCTTGCAGACAGCTGGTCATTTGCATCCTTTTAGAGGGTCCTTGAAGCACTTGGAGGTTTACCTGTGTCCTCAGGGTCACCTGAGTTAGTGCTCCTGGTTCCTGTAGTCTGCCATTTTATTTCCTCTGGAAATCCTTTCCTACTCCCACACCATTCAAGGGGTGTTCATCCCAAATTGTGTAACTAAAGATCTGTAGAGATTCTCAGTCATCCAGGTCATGGTTGTCCCAAAGGTGCTTTTTTCAGGAGGTAACTGGACTTTCTTGTTATCACAGGTTGCTGCAAATGGTCCTTAAATACCTGCCAGTCGCCAAGATCCCTAAATGTGGTCACATGACCCTGGGAGGAGGCTGACTGTTGAAACTTCAGAGCTGAGTTGCAAATACCTATTGTAGGGTCCGTCGTAACTATGAACAGTTGCTGGGCGGCTCATTGTAAATCAATGACTACCATGACCTCCCTGGTACTGGTACTCAGGCACTTGTTACCTGTGATCTGAGTGGACATCTAACTGATAGTTTCAATCCAATAAATTATCCCTTTGCAGCTGCCCACTGCCCACTGCCCTGAGCAGCTGAGGCAGCTCAGCTGGGATCGTCAGAGCCTTTTTTTTACCTTTTAAAAGCATTTTTTAAAAGAAGTGGCAAGTGGGTGACCGGGCTATTGGGTGGGCATGGGTGGGGTGGAGGGCAGGGATTTTTGCTACCGGTTCTCCGAACCACCTGCCGCCATCGCTACCAGATTGGCCGATCCGGTCCGAATCGGGAGCATTTCACCCCTGGCTTCTGCCCACCCAGCAGTAAAGCCCACCTACAAAGACCGGCCAAATCCACCATGTGCTTCCACAGTAAAGATCTTGAGATGTTTTCCGGGTGGTATACATAAGCCCCCTCTCCTAATCCCTGCTTTTCCTTCTTCCCCCTTCCTCTTTTTCTACGATGAGGGGTTCAGCCACAACTTTGGCCCTTCCGTGGCCTTTCCATGCCCCCCTGGACCCAACTCTAGAAATAATAATTTTGTAAACAGTTGAAAAGTCGAAGGGAGCCAGGATCCGCCAAGAGATTGGAGGAACCCCCATAAAGGTAATGGTTAAGGTTTCCCTCGCACATATGTGCGAGTTGTTCCCGACTCTAGGGTGCAGTGCTCATCTCTGTTTCAAAGCCGAAGAGCCAGCGCTGTCCGAAGACGTCTCTGTGGTCATGTGGCCGGCATGACTAAACGCCAAAGGCGCATGGAACGCTGTTACCTTCCCACCAAAGATAGTCCCTATTTTTCTACTTGCATTTTTTACGTGCTTTCGAACTGCTAGGTTGGCAGAAGCCGGGAGAAGTCACGGGAGCTCACCTCGTTACGCGGCACTACAGATTCGAACCGCTGAACTGCCGACCTTTCTGAGACAAGCTCAGCATCTTAGCCACTGAGCCACCGTGTCCCTATAGGAACCCCCATAAAGGAAGAGAAAATCCCCACAAGATGCTTGGGAGCTGCCAAGAGAAAGGAGGATACTCTACGGAATCCTCTGGGATAAGAGGCCACCCCACCAATCATGGGGAGACGCGCGGACAGTCAGGCTTTGCCAACTCACCCATCTGTATCCTGGAAGTTCACGTTCACCCGTTTGGTGGATCCGAGGAGCTCTGGGGGGACAGAGAAGAGAGATGGGTTAGAGGAGGGGAAGCCTTTTCCCTGGGAACTCCCAGAAATGCATCAGCTGCCCAAAATACCCTCTTTGGGAATAATCGCTCTGCGCTTCCATCACAGCACCTCCATTATGAAGCCGGCTTCCTTCCGAAATGAAGCCAGCTGCCTCCCTGACAGTCCTCGAGAAGCTTTTAAGGAAGAAGCTTTCTCGGAGGGTCTTTGGAGAACGCCTGCCAGGAGGTGGAGGTCTATTTTTATTATCCAGTCGTGGTTATTATGAAGCATTGTTTGGTTCATCCATTGTCTGGATGTTTTTATGCCAGGCTGTACGTCACTGTGCATTGTGAGGATTCAGCGACCTAACCAGTTTGGTGACTCGAGAAATGGATGCATTCTGAGTCACGTTTTGCTCGGTTTTGCCTGGAGGATATAGCAAAATGGACATTTGGATTGGTCTAAAACTGACCAATCCGTCAAATTCCCTGCTGGTCACATGTGGCTACTGGAGTCAGGTGAGGACAGGGCCCTGCAATTCTGGCCCTTTTGCAAAAGGGACCCTCAGCAAAAGCATAGGAACAGGTACAAGAGAGAATACGTGCACCCACCCACCCACCCATACACACGTTAAGAATTTGTGGTTTATTTTCCCATCTTCACAACCCATCTGCTGGCTACTAACACAACCCAAGCCTTTGTTTGTCCAGGCAATCTTTTCAAACGGAGGTGGTGGATAGAAGGAAGGCAATGCTTTAAATGGCTGGAATCCCGGGAGAGGATGATGCGCTTTGCAAAACTGAGGAGGCTGTGGAAGGATCGGAAAGCATGAATTTCTGGCACCCCATTTCACCCTAGGGCAGTGTACCTCAATCTCGGCAGTTTTCAAATGTGTGGAGTCCGACTCCCAGAATTGCCCAGCCAGCATGCTGGGGCCACCTTCTGGAAAGTGAGAAGCAACTGAGGACTCTCTGGATCTTTGAGGATCCCACAAATGGATGCTGTGGATGGATTACTTGTGGAAAACAGGGGGTTCTACGTGCAGGAAATAATCCAAGAAAGAAGCCTTAATTGTGGGTTGGGAAGAGATTGCATTAGGGCCAGCATGGGGCACAGGAGGCTTCTTGAATTGGTGTTGCCCATTTGTGCCTTTAGATTTCCCCTGGTCTCCCACCCCTGAGGATTTGCCCTAGAGAAACATCAAACTAACATAGCCAAAGTTTTAGGCCCTTACGATTTATATATCCCTCCACCTGAACCTGGATGAGAAAGAATCAACCTGCCAGTCTCCCCTGCCACTTTTGCCCAGGTCCCCCCAAATCCATTCTTGTCCCATTTCTGCATGAATCTCTACATTTTTAAAGTAATGGGCACGAAAAGTCATATAGCGCATACATGTATCTGTCTTCAAATTATTTGGTCTCAAAATATAGGAGAGTAGAATAGAGTAGGGTAGGGTAGGGTAGGGTAGGGTAGGGTAGCGTAGCGTAGCGTAGCATAGCATAGGATAGGATAGCATAGAATAGAATAAAATAATAACTTTATAGTCATTTTGAATGTACACTAATCGGCATACATTGATCAGCATACACTAATCGGCATACATCTCAAAGGGTCATCATGTCCAATATACACTACATAAACGTGACACAATAAAGAAATAAATATAAAGTTATGCATATATCCACACATATAATATGACCCAGAGAAACAACACGGTCTAGTCTAGATGTATACATGTACATGGTGAGAAAAACAAATCTTGTGAGTTTACCAGACAGATGGCTTAGGGAACAAAGCTGTTACAGAATCTGGTAGTCCTGCCAGAAATACTTCGAAATCTCCTCTCAGAGGGGAGCAACAGAAACAGACCGTGGGTGTGGGATGGGTGTGTCTAACAATGCTTTGAGCTCTAAGCCCATAGCTCTTACAAGCAGCATCCTGAATAACGGGAAGCGAGCTTCCTATAATCTTCTCCACTGTCCTTACCACTCTCTGTATGGACTTTCTATCTGAGGCACTGCCCCACAAGATCCATGCCCCACACCTTGCGTTCCTGAATGAAATAACAAGCTGATAAATACTAATGACTTTATATAATGTATGGCAATATCCTTTTTTTACAAGTTTCAGCAATTGGGACATGCTGGAATTAGGATGCAGGTGACAGGGAAAGTCAGGCTGAGGATTGTTTGCACCTCTGTTCAGGTTGATTGGAATCCTTCTGAAGACTGTCCATATTTCCCGTGGAAACTTCAGAAGGGGAACAGCCAAGACTTCGTGCTGAGCTCAGCTGGCCCTGAGTCCCAGGTATAAACCCTGGCACCATCTGGCTGCCCGAACAGCAGCTAAGAGAGTTTCAGGCTAGAAAGAGACATTCCACAGTTGGATTGACACAACTGGCTAAAACTATAAACTCGAGTTGCATCAAGTACAATTGTTGCATTCACATAATGCAGCAACCACTTATGGTTTAATGGGATCACACACACACACACCCAAGAGCTAAGATAATGTCTGGGTTCTGACAACACATTGTACCACAGGTTCTCCTTCCTAATTTTAGTCCAGATAAGCAGGTTATGGGAACCAGCCCACCTGTGGCCAGAGAAAAAGAATGGGTTGTAGTCATGGGATGAAGCCTGGGGAAGGAGAAAAGCGCCCAGGGGCACTTTTGACAATGACCTACCTGCCTCCCTCCTCACCAGGGACTGGCAGCTTTTCTTTCTGCCTTTCCTTTACCAGTGAGTGGGGTGCGAGCAACCTGTGCCACAAAATGTAGCTGTGCCAGCACCTTGTTTCCTCCAGAGGAGAAGGAGGACAGGACTTCAGCTGACCCTCCTAAAAAGAAGAACGGCCTGCCAGCCACCTGGCCAGTGTTGCTCCAACAGCCACAAGGAGTCAGGGATCCCCTCTGCCAATTAGCAAGCTTTAGCAAAAGGCAGAAAGAAGCCTTTGTGAACGGCGCTCACCCAAACTTCTGCCTTTGAACAAAACAGGGCAGTTGGAAAAGGTGCTGCCAGGCCTGGCGTTTTGCTACCTTTGTTGAATGCACCTGGCTCGCCTCCAACGAGGCCTCCTTGCACCCAAAAGTGCTACAGAAGCCAACCTCCAGGGCATCGGAAACTTCTCCCCTCACAGCCCCCCTGGCTCTGCTCCAATGGGGACTGAGTGACCAAGCTGGCCGACTGAGTAGGGTTAGGGGTCCTCCGTGACTGGCAGCTACACTCCCATGCTCTTGCCAAGCTGGCCCTGAACTGGACCAGGAGAGATGCTGGGCCATGCAGGAAGCAGGCAGCCCTGCAGGGTAAGGAGTGGGGCCTCAAGGCTACTCTGGGTAATTGCTTGCCCACCCTCAAACTGGCTGGCCACTGCAGGGGCTGACAACGGTCCCCTTGGCCTTGGAAAGAGCCCACCTGAGCTTAGTCAGTACTTTCCCCATCTCTGCTCCAAAGAGGAAAGGCTCCCTCCCCTTCGGAGGCCCCTAACTCAAACCTTTCATTTCCTGCTACAGTTTTATTAGCCTCCCCCTGGTTTGGCTCCCTGCCAAAGAGATGGTAGAGCAGCTGCCAAATTGGCAGAAGTGGAAGACGCTCGTAGCCTAGCCAGCCCCATCACACCTCTCCCAGCCTTAGAGCCGAGCACAGGCCCGCTCGGCAGAAGCTGCAGGGAGGGGCAGACCAGCAAGGAGAGGACCAGCCCATCTGGAGGAAGGGTGCTCTGCCCTCCCAGGGGAGGGGGCCGAGGGAGACCCCACAAACCCATGCAGTCCAGAGTTTAAATCTCTCGTGCAGCCCCTCCTGCCTTCCCCGTCCATCCCTCGGTACCAAGGAAGGTGCAGCAAAGATGCCACCCAAGGGCGGAGGGCGAGGCAGAGCCTGGCTGGCAGGGACAGGAGTGGAGAAGGGCCATCCATCTTCCAGACAGAGGAAGAATCTGCAGGCTGGCCAGCGGCGGAGATGTGTGTCGAAGGGAAAGGAGGGGAGGGGGAAGAGGAGGCGCAGAGGAGCCAAGAGGGGAGGAGGAGGGGAGGGCACCGGAAAGATTTTTGCTCGTCATCACATTCTCATTTGCTTTTATTCTTAGCATCTCCACGGCAGAAGAGATGCCAGCTGACCACAAGCCTGGAGTTTCTTGAAAAGAGGGAGACGAAGGAGGCTTCCAGAGAGCAGAGGTACCGCAACACCCACCTGGTGCTCAAAGCCAGGAGCAGAGCTGCAGGGGGCTTTGCCAGAAGAGACCCACCCCCCATTTGGAGGGCTCCGCGATGGGCCCCTGGGAACTGCCCTCCTTCTGAGCATGCGGCCTTATCTTGCAGCATCCTGGGTACCATTTAGAATAGAGTAGAATAATAACTTCATTGTCACTTTGAATGTACACTAATCGGCATACATTAAAATGAAATTTCGTTGCATACAGCTCTCAAAGGGTCTCCACCTCCAATACACACTGCATAACCATGACAGAATGAATGAATAAATGAATGAATGAATGAATAATGAATAAATAAATAAATAAATAAATAAACAAACAAACAAACAAACAAACAAATAAATAAATAAATAAATACAAAATTATGTATAGATCCACATATATTATTATATGACACAGAGAAACAACACAGTCTAGTTTGGATGTATAAAATGTACATGGCAAGAAAAACGAATCTTGCAAGTTTGCCAGACGGATGGCATAGGGAACAAAGCTGTTCCAGAATCTGGTAGTCCTGCTAAAAATACTTTGAAACCTCCTCCCAGAGGGGAGCAACAGAAACAGAGATCGTGAAGTGGGTGTGTGGGCTCTCAGAGAATGCTTTGAAGCACGTAGCGCTTATGAGCAATATCCTGAATAACGGGAGCAAGCTTTCTTCTCCACTGTCCTCACCACTCTCTGTAGGGACTTTCTGTCTGAGGCGCTGCCGCCATCAAACCAAACATTGATGCAATTTGTTAAAACGCTCTCAATGGTGCCTTTGTAAAAAGTGGCCAGGACAGAAGGAGAA